GGCAGGCATCAAGGCGCTGTTCGAGGCAGCATGAGAGCCGAAAGACACCCTGATTCAATTCGTCAGTCGCTGGGAGGCGCAATTATCAGAGGTGGAGGGGACGACATGTGGCTCTCGCCGAAGCTCAAAGGTTTCTTACTGGAGGAAGGAGCGGGCCTCACGTCGCAGGGCACCCAGGGCGGCTAGACTACGACAGTGTCGCTTGGGATTCGGCAGATGGACTCTGCCGGATCTGAGCGTCTCCTCCCAGGCACGGCACGCGTGCGTTCTATACTCGCCGTCGGAGCCGCGGGCGAGGAGCCAGGGCCGACAGGCGGTCGCCACATGCGCCAGCAGTCTGCTCCCCTCTCTTCCTGCCCCGCTCGGTTGGGAAGGCACATTTTCACGGACTTCAGGTGGGATGGCGCAAGACTGCCATGTCCTTCCTGAACCAGCACGGACGCACGCGTAGCTTACTATAGCCCTGCTGGTGGATAGCTTTATAGCCAGAATGGGAAAATACCAACCGGATTCTCCGAACTGTTGACGGACTCTTTATAGGTAGTTCGGCGTCGGAATCCAGGTTGTGATTGCGGCGTCCCTTGGAATCGCGATTCAGGTTCGGAAAAACAATGATTGCTAGGAGGGCCGTTGCCGGAAGAAGGATCACCATCGGACCTGTGCGCGCTACCATATATTTGGAATGCGTACGCCCTCGATGAGATACACCCCGTCTACGTAGCTCGTGGGAGCTTCGCTAGGAAAGGCAGTCGCCCCGAGCCCTCCGAGTTTGAAGTTTTGCGTCCGTTAGTTTCCAATTACAAGTGGCTGGGCAGGGAGTTGCGGCCAGAAACCGCCGGAGCAGCCAGATACTAGCAAGCCCATTGCGTTGAGCCACGACAGGACACGTGCCCATCGCCAACAAGCAAGCCAAACACTTGCGAGTTTCGGCCTTTAAGGGCCTCACGATTTGGCGGTTGGCCCTCGAACAGATGCTGTTAGATTCGTTTTCCGATGCTGGCAGAGTCGGGGCTTCGATGGTCTGACCGACGAGGCAGGCTGACCGATGGACCCGACCCAAGGCGTTTGGATTGCATTGACTTGCGACCAGAGAGTGCTCAGTAATCACTTCGTGAAGGCGTCAATCATCGGCCCGCGCACTTCCAAGCTGCGCAAGAAAGTACCACCCACATTGGCTGGTCAAGCACAGGCACAATCGGCGGCATCTGCCGAGATTGAGTTTCTGCTAATATTGGATCGTGACGTGACGTTCGGTGACGTGGACGCGAGAGAGCAACATCGCAGCTCGGGACCATTTACTACCGCTCTCAGGCGCGATTGTCAGGTTGGGGTCCCAGTAACAACAAGTACATGCCGTCGACGCAAAATCAATATGTAACCGTGTTCAAGGAAGGCAACGCCAAAGCGAAAGACGCACAGCCATCGACCTCGCGATCACAGGTGAAGAACCCGAGCAGGCCCGAGCGCTGTGTCAGGTGGATCCTTCACACCCGGATGCCCGGCGATGCCCTGACTCAAGACGGCGCGTGAAAGTTTAATGCCGCGCTGTTTGCCTCCCTGACCCAGCACGGATGCTCGCGTAGTTTACTAGAGCCTTGTTGGTGGATAGCTTTATCCAGAATGGGAAATTAGTTCTCCTAACTGTTGACGATTTCTTCGTAGGTAGTTCGGCGTCGGAATCCAGGTTGTGGTTGCGGCGTCCCTTGGAATCGCGATTCAGGTTTGGAAAAAAACAATGATTGCTAGGAGGGCCGTTGCCGGAAGAAGAATCACCATCGGACCTGTACGCGCTACCATATATTTGGAATGAGTACGCCCTCGAGGAGATACACCCCGTCTCCGTAGCTCGTGGGAGCTTCGCTAGGAAAGGCAGTCGCCCCGAGCCCTCCGAGTTTGAAGTTTTGCGTCCGTTAGTTTCCAATTACAAGTGGCTGGGCAGGGAGTTGCGGCCAGAAGCCGCCGGAGCAGCCAGATACTAGCAAGCCGACTGCGTTGAGCCACGATAGGGCACGTGTCCATCGCCGACAAGCAAGCCAAACACTTGCGAGCTTCGGCTTTTAAGGGCCTCACGATTTGGCGGTTGGCCCTCGAACAGATGCTGTTAGATTCGTTTTCCGATGCTGGCAGAGTCGGGGCTTCGATGGTCTGACCGACGAGGCAGGCTGACCGATGGACCCGACCCAAGGCGTTTGGATTGCATTGACTTGCGACCAGAGCGTGCTCAGTAATCACTTCGTGAAGGCGTCAATCATCGGCCCGCGCACTTCCAAGCTGCGCAAGAAAGTACCACCCACATTGGCTGGTCAAGCACAGGCACAATCGGCGGCAGCTGCCGAGATTGAGTTTCTGCTAATATTGGATCGTGACGTGACGTTCGGTGACGTGGACGCGAGAGAGCAACATCGCAGCTCGGGACCATTTACTACCGCTCTCAGGCGCGATTGTCGGTTGGGGCCCCAGGAACGACAAGTACATGCCGTCGACGCAAAATCCATATGTAACCGTGTTCAAGGAAAGCAGCGCCAAAGCGAAAGATAGACGCACAGCCATCGACCTCGCGATCACAGGTGAAGAACCCGAGCAGGCCCGAGCGCTGTGTCAGGTGGATCCTTCACACCCGGATGCCCGGCGATGCTCTGATTCAAGACGGCGCGTGAAGTCTTAATGCCGCGTTGTTCGATTTGATGTCCAGTGGTCGATTCTGTCTGGTGGATGAAGCCCGAGAGGTTGAACACCGCCGATACGGCCCAGGTCTCAAGAACAGGTCGCAGTCAGCCGCACGGAAGATTGTCAACAAGAGTTCCAGCTGAATCTCGTGCTCCGAGTTCAAACACTAGGTCCCAGGCAGTGTCGGTGGTGTCGGTGGTGGTTCCATCTTCACCCCTCTTTCCCCTCTCTCCTCCCCTAGTTCCTCCATGCAGGGAGGTAGCTCCTTGGCAGGAAGGTTCATGTAAGCCGCGTGTGTCGCTACATGTGCCCCTTAGGTTTTAGACGGTGCAGCAGGCGAATTTCAATGCCTGCCTCGATTCGGATATCATGGCAGGTTTCCTTGTTTAGTTTCGCGTGCCCACAGGCGGTGTCCCCACGGGGGAAGCTAAACTTGAGAGACATAGTTTGGGCATGTGCTTGGTTTTCCTGGTTTCCGGTATCAGGCTTAGCGTTTGGTTGGGCCATTTTCTTGTGAGACCCTTTGACCAGGGCCTTTTCGGAGTTCCATCTGTCGCGAAGCCCTGCAAGACAGGGCAAGTGTGATTGCTCTTCGTACTTGCGTCTGGTTCAAGGCTGAAAACAGTATGTGTCCCTGCCGCTGCCACAGGGGTCCATGGGGCCCGAATGCGTCCATCTCCCCAGCCCGTTGGGGTCCCAGGACGTCGGTTCCACATGCGGTGGATATGGTTCGATCCCCACCCCGCCCTGCAGTGCGGTCCAGAGGCTACGTCTGGGGAAGATTTGGGTCTCGTTCCCGCCCCGGTGTTCTGTGGTGGGCAGTGCCGCGCCCCTTTTGGCAGGTGGATCTCTCAAGCTCTCCGCCGCCTCTGGCGGTGCGCGTTGCGAGCAGGAACACCGCAAAACCACAGGTCGCCTGCTCGCGCTGTGTCCTGCTTTGCTGTGTTCCTGCTCGCCCCCCACACCTTGGGCCTCACGTCGGTATATGCTCCTCTCGCCGCTCCTGAGCTCTGGCGTCTTGGAGGTGTTCTGGCACGGTCGGGGTCCAGCGCGGGCCCCAGATATCCGCAGTCTCGAAAAAATTGGGGTGGAGGTGTTTCGTAGCTGTCGGCCTCCCAGGCCCGTTGCAGGCTCGCGGGGGGCCGCCAGGTTCGTTCCGGGATGACATACTGTCCCGGGGAAAGGGTCGAGAGGTTGGGGGCCCGCGCCTCGACAGAAACTGAGACGCCAAACGCATGGGGCCATCGAAGAAGACAAGTTGCATGCACAGTAGCTCTCAGAGCTCCGTGCGGATTCGTCGGATCGGCGCTGAGATCCCCGTGGCGGCGCCTCTGGCGCTGGCCTTGGCGTGCTCCGCGTGCCAGGGAGGGGCGCCCCGCGCGCCAGGGAGCGAGTCGATTCCTGGGAAAATAGGCGAAAAGATGGGAAGTGTGGGGGGAGACAGACGCCCAGAAAACATATGAAAATGCTGGGAACCCTGGGAGTTGTGTCTTTTTATCTGTGTGTCCCAGGGCCCCTTGAGGGAGGGGGGCCCAGCGCCGATCCAAGACATCCGTTCAGGTCTTCGAGATGTCATGTGTGTGTGTGTGTGTGTGTGTGTGTGTGTGTGTGTGTGTGTGTGTGTGTGTGTGTGTGTGTGTGTGTGTGTGTGTGTGTGTGTGTGTGTGTGTGTGTGTGTGTGTGTGTGTGTGTGTGTGTGTGTGTGTGTGTGTGTGTGTGTGTGTGTGTGTGTGTTGTGTGTGTGTGTGTGTGTGTGTGTGTGTGTGTGTGTGTGTGTGTGTGTGTGTGTGTGTGTGTGTGTGTGTGTGTGTGTGTGTGTGTGTGTGTGTGTGTGTGTGTGTGTGTGTGTGTGTGTGTGTGTGTGTGTGTGTGTGTGTGTGTGTGTGTGTGTGTGTGTGTGTGTGCAGCATGCCTGTTGTTCCCGCCGCTAGGCCAGGTCCAGCGCTGGCTTTCCGCGGAGCCCGGCGCGGTGCGAAGCACTCTTCGTTGGCTCTCTCGCCGACTCTCCTCGTCGCCTCCCCCGCCTCGAGGAGTCCACGAGGGAACCCCACGCGCCCCTCGGCGCGCGCTCCGCTGCCACCCGGGGGAGGGGCTGGAGGGACGAAGGGCCACGACGAAGAGCAGGAGGGAAAAAACACACAGACACAATTCATCCTCGATTCCCCCGAAAATATGGGAAAATATGGGAAGTGGCGGGGAGGACAAAAACCCAGAAAATATGGAAACAGATAAAGGACTCCTTTTCTTTGTGTCTATTCATTTGTGTGTCCCAGGATCTCTTCAGAAGAGCAGGGGGAGGACGAGGACGGCATGGGGGGGACATGCTGGGCCAGGACTTGCCGTTGACACAGTCCTCCAACGAGCAAAACGGCGCAGTGCTGAAGGTGAAGGTCCAGTTGGACCGCAAGGGCTTGAAGGCCGCTCTTTTTTCTTCTCGAGGCTGCCTCCGACGACCCAGAGCGGCTCGGGCCGGAAGCGCGGTGTTTCGGAGAGCAAGGGACGGCATAAACATACATGGTCGACGGTCCGCGCGCATTTCTTGGATCGACGCTGGGCACCCCTGGCGGCGCCTCTGGCGCCCGGGAGGGGGGTCTAGCGTCGAGCCAAGGCATCTGCGCGGTTCTCCACCAGTTTATGTGTATGCCGTTTTCTTCTTCTATGGAAGCGCGGGGTTGGAACCTCCCCCCGCTCGAGCCCCCACCTTCCTTTTCCAGAGGTTAGGACGGAGGGGAGCAGACACCGAACGAGAGGGAGAGAGCGCACAGACACACGACAACACATGATCGCACAAGCTACGCAGCTGTTAAGGTTGCTCGTGCAAGCATGTCGCGCATGTGGGCACGTTGCTCACCGTGTCATCGCAGAAACCTGGCATCACACCTTACACGCGGCATATGACCGGAAGACGTAGCAACCAACAGCGCTGAGACATGCGCATGACACATGTGCAGCTGTAAATATACGCATCGCGATACGCCCTGTCGTTACGTGTTTCAGAGTAGCATGCCCCATTGATTTACGTTTCCAAGAGCCACGGTTGAAAGAGGCATCATATACTGGGCCGTGCAGTGCAGTCGCCGCGCGCCTGTGCAACTCAGTCTGGTGCGATGTCGCGGACGAGCACGACGCGGTGTTGTTCTAGCTGGTGCGACACAACGCGACGCGACGCGGAAAGCCGCAAGATTGTGTTACAAGATCAGATGTACCATGCAGCAGCAAGCACGGGTAACGGATACGTCGCAGGAACAGGGACTATCAGGCCGTTTCAGAACGCGGGTAAACAGTTCGTGTCACTGACCCCTCAGAGCGTTTGGAGCGATCTGAAGCGGCTGCGGGGGCACCATGCACGGTAGGTTGGCGCCGTGTTGACGCGTTGGCGATTTGTGCGCGCAGGCGTTCAAGGTTGCACGCCGCCAGTGGGTCGGAACCGGTTGATGTCGAACGATCTTCGCTATCGAGAGGCCACGATCGCGCAGGGTTGAATGACCCGCGCGGTGTCAGAGACCGACACCTGCGTCGCCCCGACACGAGCCTGCCGCATCCTTGGCGGCGCGCACGGGGGGGAGGAGGAGAAGGAGGAGGAGGAGGAGGTGGGAGGAGGAGGAGGTGGTGGAGGAGGAGGAAGAGGAGGAGAAGGAGGAGGCGGAAATGGAGGAGGAGAGGGGAGGAGGAGGAGGAGAGGAGGAGGAGGGGGGAGGAGGAGGAGGAGGAGGAGGAGGAGGAGGAGGAGGAGGAGGAGGAGGAGAAGGAGGAGGAGGAGGTGGGGATGCCTTCTAAGAAGTCCCCCCCCGCAATCTTGGAAGGCGGCCCCTCTGGCGCCACCCCCACGGCGCGCGCGCCGCCGGCAGCTCGGGGGGTGCTGCGGGTGTCCCTGGCCCGAGGTGCCTCTATTTTCTCGCTCCACCGTGGAGCTCCTGGGCCCCCCCCTGTCAGCAAGGGTATGGTGACGCCGGGGTGTGGTTTGCGATCGGCACCTTTGGGGCCTTTGGGGCACGACACTGTCCTCGTCGGGCCTCCTCGGGGCGCGGGAGAAATCTATCGAGGTCCCCGCGCGCCCCCCAGGGTGCCTCCCACGATGCTCCCCAGGGTGCCGGTGGCAAACCACACCCTTTGCAAACCACGCCCTTTGGAGTCGCCGACCCTGGGCCTCGTGTGGGGTGCTCTGGGCCTCCTTGGAAGTCCTCGGGACCTCCTTCTCCTCTTCCTCCTCCCTCTCCACCTCCTCCTCCTCCTCCTCCTCCTCCTCCTCCTCCTCCTCCTCTTCCTCCTCCTCCTCCTCCTCCTCCTCCTCCTCCTCCTCCTCCTCCATCTTCTCCTCTTCCTCCTCCTTACTTCCGGCAGCAGCCCAACATCCTCCAGCGGTCTCGCCGACCCGCGGAGATCCCCCGAGCTGCCCGCCCGTGCCCGACTCCGCCCGTGACCCGCCCTCGCCTCGGGCGGAGCGACGGGCGGCGCGGCGACGACCGTGGCCTCGCGAGCGTATTGGCATCGGTAGCGATGGGGAGGGAGGAAAGAGAAGGTGGAGCATTGAGGGAGGAGGGAGGAGGAGAGGAGGAGGAGGAGGAGGAGGAGGAGGAGGAGGAGGAGGAGGAGGTGGAGCATGGAGGAGGAGGAGGAAAGAGAGAGGAGGAGGAGGAGGAGGAGGGAGGAGGAGGAGGAGGAGGAGGAGAGGGAGGAGGAGAGAGGAGGCGGAGGCGGAGGCGGAGGCGGAGGAGGAGGAGGAGGAGGAGGAGGAGGAGGAGGAGGAGGAGGAGGAGGAGGAGGAGAGGAGGAGGGGGAGAAGGAGGAGGAGGAGGCGGAGGAGAGGAGGAGGAGGAGGAGGAGAGGAGGGGTAGGAGCAGGAGGAGGAGGAGGAGGAGGAGGAGGAGAGGAGGGGAAGGGGAGGGGGAGGAGGGAGGAGAAGAGAGGAGGAGGATGAGGAGGAGGATGAGGAGGAGGAGGAGGAGGAGGAGAAGGCCAAGGAGGTGGAGGACCCGGAGGAGGAGAAGGCCAAGGAGGTGGAGCAGGAGAAGGAGGAGGCCGAGGAGGGGGATGAGCAGGAGGTGGATCAGGGGTGCAGCACTGAAAAGTAGGATGGAGAGGGTGAAGTGGGACGTGATGGAACATTGTTGGCCAAGCCTCTTCCAACCCCCCTTCCTCCTCCCCCCCTCCTTTTCCGCGTGGAGGAGCGCAAACATACTACTCAGGTCGTGGTCGTCGGTGCCAGGGGTCTCAAGCGGTCCGGCGGGACAAGGCCGGCGGGGCTGGCCACGGCGACGGACCCTTACTGCGTCTGCGGCGTGCTGGGCAAGCCGCACACGCGGCGCCAGACGGACGTGGTGAGCGACGAGTTCGACCCGACGTGGAACTGCACCCTGGAGATCCCCGACTGCGCGGAGGGGGACACCCTGCAGTTCATGGTCTTCGACAAGGACCTGCTGACGCATCTGACGCACCCGAGGATCGGAGTTAACAGGGGGGGGGATACGTGGTCCATCTCGATCCGACCAAGTCGATTAGACATATACATATATACACACCTATACGACCACCCTGCGGGTGATAAGGAGGTTTGGTGGGGGGCAGCAATGGGCAACAGTGGTGACGGTCGTTCTGACGATGCCTGTGGTGCGCATATCAACGTGCATGTCGATTTGTTGCTCGATCTGCATCTCGATTTGCATGTCGACATATCGATGTGCATGTCGATTTGCTTTTCGATCTGCATCTCGATTTGCATGTCGGTTTTCATTGGAAAGCTCGCCGCAGGCGCCGATTTTTTAACTACGCAACCCACGGCGCCTTACGATTTGCATTTGGATGTGCATGTCGATTTGCATTTCGATGTGCTTGTCGGTTTGTATGTCGTTTTGCATGTAGACTTGCATTGGATAGCTTGCCGCAGCCACGGCAGGACACCAGCGGGACACTAGCGGGACACCGGGGGGTACCGTTTGCCGGGTGAAGAGACTTTTGGTCCGGCCGCGGCCCAGCCACAGGAGGATTTCGGGACACCCGCGGGACACCAGCGGGACACCGCGGGGCACCGTTTGCCGGGTGGAGAGACTTTTGGTCCGGCCGCGGCCCAGCCACAGGAGGATTCCCTTTCCCCGCCCACGCAGCTTCGCCTCGCCCGCACGCACGCACGCACGGCACGCACGACACGAACCCGAAACCGACATCGATTTCCCGGTAGGAGGGGTCTCCGTTTCACGTGGGATCCACACCCCAACCTCCGATATATATATATATATATATATATATATATATACATATATATATGTGTGTATATGTATATGATTACTCACATATGCATTTATGCGGTTGTGTGTAAGTGTGTTATATATGTGTGTATGTACGTATGTAAATCTGTAATTGTGCATATGTGTATGTTTGTTTGTTTGTGTGTGTGTTTGCTTGTTTGGTTGTTTGTTTGTTTGTGTGTATGAATGCATGTGTACAGTTGTATGTTTGTATGCACGCATACATGTATGTATGTATGTAGGTGTGTATGTATGTATGTATGTATGTATGCATGCATGCATGTATGTATGTATGTATGTTTGCATGCATGCATGTATGTATGTATGGGTGTGTGTGTGTATGTATGTATGTATGTATGTATGTATGTATGTATGTATGTATGTATGACTGTATGTATGTATGTATGTATGTATGCATACATGCATTCATGCATGCATGCATGTATGCATGCATGCATGTATGTATGTATGTATGTATGTATGTATGCATGCATGTATGTATGTTGACATGGATGTATACATGATGTATGTATATGTGCATGCACGTAATCATGCGGGCGTGTATGCATGCATGCATGCATGCATGCATGCATGTATGTATGTATGTATGTATGTATGTATGTATGTGTGTATGTATGCATGTATGTATGTGTGTATGTATATATCGAGTCGGCTCGATCCGATGTGGTTCCAACATTCGACGGTGCGGTGCGGCACGATGTTTTTTTTATGGGCGCCGATGTGCATCTTTTCGCAGGCGATCGGGTCCGATTTCGGCTTCGCGCTGACGCAGCCCGATCTGACGCACATTTCTCCAGGAACACGTGATGACGTAAACATAGGCACTCGGAGGTCTGTGCTGATCTCTTGGATCCGTGCTTGAACCCCTTCCCTCACGCGGGAAGCGCGCCAGCGGCGGCGCTGGAGGCGCCGCCAGGCGGTTCCAGCGCCCATCCGAGGCATACGCGCGGACCTCCGACGGTTTACGCTCATGTCAGCGTTTGTCCCCCGAACTCCGCCTCGCTCCGAGTTTCGGACTCGATGTCGAGGAACGTTGCGCTTCCGCAGCGGCACGGTGCTCGAGCCTACCCGGGGCAAAAGGCTCCCGCGCTCCCCTCTGACCCTCCGATGCGGAGCTCTCCCAGCGGGGGCGACGGCCCCAGCTCACCGTGGGG